TGGTCCCCACCTGGCTCTCAGCCTCATTGCATCCCTTTCCTTCTAGGTTTACAATGGACATCTTGCACTTTCTTACCTGGGGCAGCCTCCCCTCCAGTCCTGCAAAGTCACCACATCCTTAAGGACTTGGTTCAACTATGGGAAGAAGTAATACTACATCACCTTGGCATTCCCATGGCAACCAGCCTTGGCCCCTAGAACCTATTTACCCTCTTGTGTTGTAGTTCGTTCCCACACTTTTTTTTTTTTTTTAATGATATGCCCAGCTGGAAGCACAGTGCCTGGCAATAGAAGGCTCAATGGCTCAATAAAATTGTCTTCAATGATTAACTAAACTACCTTAGAGCTGAAATTAACCCACAAATCAATACCTATGAAGTATGGACAGGCGATGGATACCTACTGAGCTTGAATCCTCTCAGACTACAAGTTTTCCTTTTGCTTATGAGGGTAAGGCTTTTAAATACCTTATGTAAATCCACATAAACTGTTCCTATAATACTCCTAATCTTTCCTAAATCTTCTGACTTTCAAAAGGCAAAAACAGCAGCTCTCTTTTCCACTATGATAGCAAATAGAACTGACATAAATAGCAAAAGCAAAGTATAATTATACTCTGAGAACTTGAATGAATGAATAGATGACAGACAATAAATTTAGTTTGGTCAAAGTAGCTATGTGGTCTTAGTCGAGTTACTTAAGTTCTTTTAATTTTTAGTTTCTTTGTGTATAAAATAGGTTTTTAAACTAAATAATCTCCAGGGTTACTTTGGTTTCTAAGAATTTAAAATTCTATATGATGGGGTATCTATTTTGTGGAGTCTTGGGGTGAGCAAGACCCATAGGGCAGAGGTTACCTCCCCTGGGAGAAGACTATAGGTTTACTGGGGATTAGAAGACCATGAGATGAAGACCTCAGTGTAACGGAACCTTTTTTATGATGTGGCAACTGGCTGGCAGAGAATTATACCAGGAAATAAGAACTCACCCTCAGTTGTCATGGAGGGCAGGAGTTGTTCTTGGTTTGTGTCCCTAAGTATATAATGATACACTTTAACTCTATAACTCCTAAGAGCCAACAGAATAAAAAGTACTTCCAGCTACCTAAGTAAAGTCAAATCCAGCCCAGTAAAATTAGTTTCACCCCGTGGATGTCCAGCTCTAGTTATAAAATATATTCAGCTTAAGAAGAATGGCCATTAACTTCGGCATCTGATTAAAATTAACAATTTATTTGCTTAAAGTTGTTTGTTTAGAAAAACTGCTAATGACTGCTTTGGGTACAGGCACAGGTGTGTGATGTGTAAGGGCACACACACAGAAGAATTCAGCATTTGAAATCCGACAGACATTTGAATTTTCAGGACATAGTAGCAAGTATTTTGGGTGACATATCCATATTTAATTCAATGAAGAGAAATTGATACTTGCCAGTGAGAACAGACTAAAATGAAAAGAAAATGGGAACAAGTGAAGCATATGTTAACAGCCAAAGCTAGGAGAGCAGGGAGAGGACAGCAGACGTTTGTGGTACAGAGACTGAATGCTGAAAAGGATTCCAGGCTGATACTGGAATAAGCCTAGAGGTCTCCTTTTGGAGAGTTGGATCCTCAGAGGTCTCTGTTTTCCATGACATTTTGTTGTGACATGGAGCAAGGGCGAGACAAGCTTCCTGTCATCGGAGAGACAAAGAAAGAGATGGGAGTGCCCGTGGTCAAGAGGCAGTTATCTCTCTCAGCATAACTTTCTTGTGGACATTTCTATCAGTGCAATTAATAAGCCATTAACTACTAAAACGATGAACTTGAGGCTCTGTGGACAGTTTTTGGACTCCAACTTCTCCGAGATGAGCCAATGCAATCAGAAATAAACTATACCAGTCCATACAGCATAAGTTCCTTTCCTTCTTAGGCTGCCCAGTCTGCATGACACGGTGTTGCAGAAAAGGCCCATTCTGGAGGGTGCCCTGGTCTGTCTTCCTGAGCCCACCCACTGCTCTCTGGTGCCACAGGGAGACCTGTCCAAACCATCCTTTAGCAATGGCGGTTGTCCCCGAGTAAAATGTCAGCGTGAGCTCTGCATGACGCCACCATAGTCATTTTCTGGCCACTAATGTTATAATATGCTAAATGAGAAGGAGTGGTGAGGATCACAGTAATGAAAAACAAAAAGAACGGATGCTTTCTAGAGTGGATCACCACGAGGAAATGAGGTGTCTTCTCCTCTTTGCCAGTCGCATAGCTCACTGAGAACAGGGAGTCACAGCTGATGCTCAGGAAAATAGCAGCTGTGGGGCTTGGGTATGAGTTTATCCACTCACAGAAGTAACCAATATGAAGCATTTTGTTGTTGTTTTTAAAATAAGAGATGCGCAAAGTAGCAAATTCAATAAGAACTGAGATGCAAGATAGAAATCTTAGTAGCAAGATAGAAATCTAATAGTAGCAGGAGCTTAGATTTTTAAATATTTGAATAAGCATAGGCTTCCAATTACTTTAAATTTTATTCTAAAATTCACAGTGGCTGAATTATTAGAGAATGGTTCACTTCAGTAACTCTACCTCTCAGAAAACACAATTTTTGAAATTCTAAGTTTATAGAGCTTTGCAGGATTTGGAAATGGGGGTTGAGAGATGTCTTTGCTCTACTCTGTCACTACGAGTATGATGTCACTAGGTGATGACAGAGTGCATAGTACAGCAGTGAGAAAAATATTCTATTTTCATAATGGAACAATCCATGATTAAATGTAGTATTAAATTGTTTTGGGGCGGGCAGAGTGGCTTAGTTGGTTAAGAGCTCACTCAAGAGTGTGAGCTCTGAACAACAGGGTCGTCAGTTCTAGTCCTGGCCCGAGCTGAGCAGACGCTGAACTGCCAACAGGTGGCAGGGTGGCTCAGCTAAAAAAAAAAAAAAATTGTTTTGTTATTTGCGGAGGTTTTTGTGTCATCCTTTGAGCTTGTTTAACTTTTTGTTTATATTTCCATATAGATGAGGTCTTATTTTCACATTTGGTTATTGGGCAACCCAGGTTTCTTTGGTTATTGTTTTAGTTCACAAAGTATTTTTTGTCATTTTCCCCCGCAAATGGAAATCAGACAACAATCACTTTCTGCATTACCTGGCACTAGAGAAAGGACATCTAGCAGAATGTTAATCCTTTTGAAATCCATCTTTACAAGATGAACTGGAGTTATTACAACATGAACCTTAATTATTTTTTAATGTCATACTGTCATACGTTATTTTCCATTTTTTTAAATATAAAGATATTTCAGGTCTTTTCTTTCTATCTATGAAGTGAGTTGTGTTTCTTTGCCTATAAATAGAATTGTATACCTTGAATGGCTTAAAAAAAAATGTGCCTCCTCAAGAACTCCATTACAATTTCTTAATTCTTTTAAGTGTTCCTTCGTGAAAGTAAGGCAATGTGAGGCTAAGGCTAGACTTGAGAATACTTCTAGGTAATATGCCTCTTCAACTAACATAGAAAGAAATGGCTCAAGATTTTAAGTTTCATATATATATTTATAAGATTTTAACTCGCACAAAACTATTAAATATCCTATCTTTTTACCTGGAATACTCCACAAAGTTTTAGATATTATTACAACTGATTGAAAATATCACTCAGAGTCTAATTATATGGGATTTAGATGACGAACCTAAATGCCAAGATAACAACTTAAACAGTTTTCATAATATGGCAACCAGAAATTAGATCCCTCATTATTTTTTAACCCAGGTAATTGTAAATCTCTTTCTCTCTAAATCAGAATGTTAGGTTTCTTTGTCCTGCTCACAATACACATGAAGAATTTGCTTTGGTAGAGAGGAACTAAGCCAAAACCACGGTTTCTTCTATGAAATGCAAATTGCCCAAACAATAGACTTCCCTTTCAAAACATGAAACAAAGGTCACAGTGCCTAAATTGCATGCAGTTAAGCTTAAAGGTTTAACAAAGGCCTTCAAAATACAATCTCAGGATCTATAGTATTAAATTATCTTCGGAGCTGTCTCTAAATATTTTAATATGAATGATCAAGTAAGTAGTGACAAGTCTTTGGCTCAATAAACTTCAACAACTAAAATGATCTGCTTTAGATATATTATTGCTACTTAAAAATGACCACATATACTTCTCTGTCCCAACGTGAAATAAATAGGAGTATTTCCCAAATCTTTTTTTTTTAGAATAAATTTGCTTGATCTTAGGTTTTCATCCCTCAATTCACCTGTGAAGCTAGTACATGTTTGAGCTGAAAAACACACTTATGACTTTACCTAGACAATTACTCCAAACCTCATGTAGGATATTTAAGAAAATTGCATTTTAAATATGGTCATCACATTTATTACATTTAACTTTAGAAATTTAAATTTAGAAAGAAACATATATTCTCTTCTGATATTTAACTTTCTGGCTTTACACCTTTTCTGATTTTTCCAAATAGGGGCTGTTCTTGTCTTTGGACGATCCTATTACACAGTAATTTATCTTAATGGCTGATCTTTGAATGAGGAATTCTCATAAAAAACTCTTTTCTTAGCATGTTGATATACTTACGTAACTATATGTTAGTTATTTTCAGTGTATATTGTACTCATAATTCATACACTAAACTGAGACCCTTCCACTGGTTATAGTCCTTCTGCTTTGGGATTTCAAATGACAGAAACAAAAGCAATCACCGAAAAGTCTTGGGCATGATTACAGAAAAACAAAGCAAAAGACAATTGTTAAAAGGCAGGTGAGAAACATTAAAAAGAAGGGTCCTAAAATAAGGTGTCTATGAAAGTGTCCCCAAGACACTTGTTCAGGTTATTACAAAACAGAACTGAGCCTTCCTACTTTGGCAGAACCTATTTTGATGTTGCAGAAATTAAAAAATCATGTATCTTATTATTTCTGCAGTGAGCAGATTCCAAGACACCTCCAGGCAAAGGGAAGACACGGGGTTTCCCTGTTAATGGCGGTCAGCACGGGCTGAAGGCTTACCTGGATCGTGCCTCAGTGGGGAGTGCGGGGTCACCAGAGTGGTTCGGGGAGGCTGGCTGCCGAGGCGAGGAGAGGGGCACGCTGTGCATTTGCTTTGGGGACCTTGGCACTTCACTGAAGGAGCAGTCTCGCCCGGAGAAGGGAAAGGATGAGGACGTCTCAACCGCGGGGGGCAGGTCACGGGCCTGCTGCCCGATGGCACTCAGCTGTTGACCTCGTCTTTGGTTTTCCACGTTGAGAAGCACCTCCGTCTCAGACACACCATCCCTGCCATGGAGGGCATGGTCCTGGGATTCAGCCACACTGGTCCTGAGCCCCGGGATCTCAGTCCTGGAGTATGCAGAACTCGAATCTTTGCCTGACTCGGCCAGCCTGTCACTTTTTCCTCCCTTCTTCTCCACAGCCTCGGGCTCCCTCCTGGACTTGGTGTATCGAGACAGAGATTCAGAGTCTGCTTCAGAATCCAGAGTTAGCCCATATTTTTCTGCCAGCTGCCGTCTCCTCTCTGCTTTGTACCTCGCGATCCTTTCAGCTTTGGACTCAAGACCCTGGGTGTCCATGATACCTGAACTACAGAATGAGTCACTATGGACTCCTGAGGTTTCCGTGCTGTGTTTAGGCCGAGCCTGCTTTTCTAAGGAAGAATCAGAAGTTTCTTCCTCTTCATTGGATCGGCCTACAAGGAGATCACATGGATAATAAAGACAGATTTAAGGGAAGACACGTATTTACTATACTATTTTATACACAATACACACTTGAGTGCCCAGGCTGGGAAGGCCCCGTTTCTCACACAGGTGCAGTGAGTTAGCTATCATGGTTTACCTGGGATGCTGACGAGGTCTGAGATCTGCAGTGAAATACCCAAAGGCTGCAAATGTTCTATGGGCTCTGCAAACCACGGAAAGCACAAGCTGAACTAAATAAGGCTCAGTCCCTCCCTTCTGAGAGCTCTTTAGGCCTTCCTCAGTGCTTATGTCCCCTTACTGATTTACTTTTTTGTTTTTGAGTTTAATATTTCATGTGTGAGGCCAGAGGACAAGTTCAGAGCCCTCTAGAAAAGATAACAGATCATTTGAACTGCTGTAATTTGACAAGTGAGGGATTGTGGTTTCACAGGCTCTGATAGTAACCATAACAATAATGGCCCATGTCAATATTCACCAGGTTGCTGTTATGTGTGTTTTTTTAAAAACAGAAGTGGCTTTTTCCAATTATAGCACACACATGCTTGATGTAGAAAATGTCTACTATGGGGCCTGCTGAGTGGCACAGTGGTTAAGAGCTGGCTTGGGGTGCCAGAGGGCCTCAGTTCGGATCCCACATATGAGGGCCAGTGACACTGCCCTCCACAGCTAAGATGCTGAACAATAGCTCAACCTGGAGCTGGGCTGCTGTGGGTTGCTGGCGACGGCGTAGGCTGCAGCCCCTGTGGCAGTGGGTTGCCATGGGCTACCGTGTGTAGCCAACAGCCAGCGTGAGAGGCCAGTAGCCGCAGTGAGCGGCTTTCCAGAGGCCGGCGACTGATCTGCCTCGCCCAGGAAGAGCGCAATGATGGTGCCAGCTTGGGCCAGTGAAGCAACATCCTCCAGAACTAGACTGAAGAACAAAACAACAGCAACTTGTCTGTTCCCCTTCCTGATTCCCCAATAAAATCTTTAAAAAAAAAAGAAAAAGAAAAAAGAAAATGTCTACATGAAAACATAGAAAGGTAAAACCCCAAAGCGCCAGTAATCACTAATATATAATACTTGATAATAAATAAACTGATAATTTGCCAAACATTGCTATATATTCCTTCTAGCCTTTTGTATAATTATATTATTCTTTTTCTATATAAAATAATTCATATTTCATATAGCATTTATTTCTATATAAAACATTTTTCTATATTTAGAAATCTTATTTTGAAGACATCATTCTTTTAAGACTTCATAATATTGTATTCAGCAGGCATCCATAATTAATTTAACTCTTCTCATATTAGTGGGCATTTAAGTTGTTTCTAACTTATAATCAGTCTGATTTTCAGATTACTATCCCAATAGATAGACTCGTAAAATTGTTTCATCAGAAAGTACATTATTTTAAGACACATGCTAGATTGTCAAAATAATTGCTATGAAATCTGCATCAATTTCCACTTGACTCTGCAATATATACTCTTTACACACATTGAGCGTTAATTTGAAAAGTTTCCTTTGATTACTAGGAGAAACTATATACACTTTTCAATTATTTAGTAGCCATTTGTATTATCTTTTTCTTCTCTGGAATACCTACCTGATCAAGCTTATTGTTCTATATTCCATTGATTCATTGTGTAATTTTTTTATTGGTTTGTATAAATTTTTATAGAAACATGAGCCTTTCTCATTCATAAATATTTTCAAAATTGCTTGTTTAATTTTCTTGTGAAGTCTACATGTAAAATTTTCTTTAAGTACAGATGCTAATTGTTATGTAGTCAAGTCAACTGACCTGATCATCTCTGATTTCAACAGCTGTTTCTGTTTCGAAAGTCCTTCTATATTCAATTTGAATTAAATATTCACCCATGTCTCCACGTTTATAATCATTTTCTTAAAATGAATCATGTAATGAATTAGAACTAATTTTTGTGTTCAATGTAAAGTAAGAAGAGAAACATGTTCCCTTCCCCCACTCCACTACAACCCATTTTCTCAATGCCATTTTATTCCAGAATCTTATTACAAAATCTTCGTTCTCTAGTTTTCTTGCCATAAAAGATCAGAAACCACAGAGACAAGCAAACTGATAACATCAGGAAGTGAGGTCAGCAGCCCTCTCTGAGGAAGAAACTAGAAAACACTGGCTATAAAAAGCAGCATCACGGAGCTGCAGAGTCAGGGTCAGGGGTGGGAAGAATAGCTCTGTATGGGTCACCCTCTCCAAAGGTCAAGTTGAATATTTGATGCCCTTAACAATGACTGAGTAATCAAGGAAAAGCTAAGTCATGTCTGACATAGTGTTTAATATGAAATAAATATACAATCCGTTTAAAATTACGTAGATTAAAATGATTTAAATAGAATGTTTATGCAATAAACAGGTAGAGTGAGAACCCTAATCATTTAAGGACCAGCTATGCCCTTAACATTCCTTCCTAAGAGCAGCCGAGTCCCGTGCTGGGCACCTGGGCATTCTGTTTAAACATGTCTCATTTAGTCCTTTACCAAACAAACTTTTACTAAGGACCTCTGACAGCCAGCTGGTCCTGAGCTAGGGCCTGAAGGTGAGAAGACACAGTCCATGCCTTTGAGGGGTCCCAGGCTAGGGGGAGGAATGACTGGGCATCAGTTGTCCCACAGTGTCTCACTCTGTGATACCGAGGGACCATACCTGAGGCAGGGCAGAGCTGAGTGTTGCTGCGGTTTTTCACAAATACGTGTATTTAATAAATAATTAGATCCACACAACTCACTTGTGTAGACTAGCTCATTTTCCAATACCACTAGATTGAAAAGGCTCTGTGGGACAGCCTGCCTGATGCTGTTCACCAGGGGTCACCAGGGGATGCTCACCGATATGGGGACTGGCTGGGTCTGTGGCTCGCATGTATCTGGGCGTGTCTTCCTCCAGCAGCCGGTGAGTCACCAACCCGGTGCAGCTCTGTAAGAGGATGGGCTGGGTGTCCGTTTCGATTCCTTCTAAGCGCCTGGCAATTCTTTCTTTTCTGTGCGAGGCACCAAAAAAGGCACAGTGGGCAATGGAAATCAATTCTAAGGGATAACTGAATACTTCTTTAACCAAACTTTTCTACTTGCTAATTACATACAATAGTTATCTTACCTTTTCATGTCTAAAAATTCTTTACTCTTTGGTTCAAAGATTTTTCTTAATTCTGCAACTAAAACAAAACAAAGTCAATAAGAAGATAGTCTAGCATTTAGTAGTCATGCATTCATTTTACTCATTTGTGTAACGTATATTTATTGAACTCCTATTTCTGTTCTTGGCTCCCCATGCAACAGTGGTACACAAAACTGACGCAGTTCTGCTTTCCTGAGATTGTTTTCTAGTGAGGAAGGCAGGTGCCAAATGAGAGGCATGTGTTTACACACACACACACACACACACACACACACACACACACACACACACACACAACTTAGATTGGGTTAAGAAGTAAAACCATGTTGAGTAAGGGACAGAGTGATAGAAGCAAGTTATATTTCATCCAGGGGAGTCAGATGAGGCCTAACCAGTAAGGTCTGTCTAGCAAGGAGATATCCCAATAACTGCTTTTTTCTGTTTGTTTGTTTTTTGCTTTTGTTTTTGTTTTTTTCTTTTCCAATGACTGTTTTCACTGTTATTAGGTTTAGGAAATATTTTCAGGTTTTAATTGACATTTGCAAGAGTAGAAACTACTACCATGCCCTCCCCCCCGCCACACACACACACACACATGCCCGTCACATGCTACAACAATCATGACGCAGCACTCCTATTTAACCTTATCATTTAACCTATAATTATCTGTAACTACCTGAGTGTAGTACCAACAGTACCTAATGTAGCGCGCCTCGATGAACACAGTGCTTAAGCCTCCCTGTCCAGGCTTTCTCCGGAAGGAAATGTTAACACTTGTTTCCCTGCTATAATTTAGGTGGATGATGGAGAAAGTAATTACTGTAATTCTAGCAACACTGGATGGCCAGATAAATGTTCTGATGATGTTGGGAGGGTCTCATGTGATACTGACTACAAGGGTATTACTGAGATGCCCAACAATTGTTTCTTTGGAGAAATGGCCAAATTCTGTAGATACTAAAGGTCTCTCTTTAGCCTCCTCCTCAATCACGGGGATTCATGACGGCTCATCTGAGTGGCTCCACAGCGGATCCAGGAGGGGTGGAGGAGGGAGAGGAGTCATGGACAGCCCCAGGGCCCACAAACCTTTTGAAAGGCTGAGTCAAAGAAGAAACTCACAAGAGGGGGTATGAATCCATGGAAGTTAATTTTCAGCTGTGTGAATGTCCGTTTGGTTTTGTAAAGCGGTCATTTTTAGTAATGAGTCACACCCCACCCCTGCCCCCAAACACACACAGCTTTTATACTGCCCTTGGACTGTTCTGAGACACAAGCCTTGTTTCTATTTACTTATTTATTTTTAAATGAAAGCCACTTTAAATTTTTAGTTGGAGTGACTTTTGCTAAGATTGGTGGCTTCAAAAGAGCCTCATTCTGAATTGGCCTCCCCAGGGAGCATGGCAGTTAGGGGCAGAGTGTGCTTTCTCTGCAATGTTAATTATGTTCCTATTGAGTAGATGTGGGTATGATGATAATGGTGGATCTCGGCTGCCTTTTGGGGAAGCTTGGCTAATAATAGCTTCCCAGTTCACAAATTAGCTCTCGTGAGATTTAGAAACTTTAGTAACTTAAATGGCGGGTAGCACCTATTTTGAAAATATTTTGAAGAATGATAAAAACCAAAGAGCATCAATGAATTGTTTAAATCCCAAAGAAGAGAATGGCGCTGGATTACTTATTATTATATATTTTGATAGCTCAGAAGCGATCGAAACCAAATTCCAAGTGCTCTGAAAGATATGTTTTAAACCTGAGCTTCAAACCCATAACAGAGAAATAAGAGTACAGTAAAACCTTGGATTGCGAGTAACTTGGTTTGCGAGTGTTCCACAAGACGAGCAAACATTTCTAATACATTTTAACTTGGTAAACAAACGATGTCTTGCAGTACAAGTAGTTTGTTTCCAGAATGAATTACGCTCACAAATCAAGGTATTACATTATATTAAATAGGGTCCTGAATAGCATAATGGCACTTGCATGACACTTGCCTTTTCTCTCCCCAAATTATTTCAACTAGGTATGTTATGGACTGGATGTTTATGTCCCCCACAAAATTCCTATGTTGAAATCCTGATCCCCAAAATGGTGCAGTGTTAGGAGATGGGACCTCTGGGAAGTGCTTAGGTTCTGCCCTCGTGGTTGTGATTAGCACCCTTATAAAAGAGGCCCTACAGAGCTCCCTCACCCCTTCCACCATGGACAGATACAACCAGAAGTTGGCAGTCTGCAACCCAGAGGAGGGTTTTCGCAAGAACTCGCCATGCTGGCACTCTGATCTTGGATTCCCAGCCTCCAGAACTGTGAGCAATAAAAACTCTGCTGTTTATAAGCCACCCAGTTCATGATTTTTTTGTTACAGCAGTCCGAATGGACTAAGATAGGGTAAGGATAAAAATATTAATGTAACACACACAGAGTGCCATACAACTTCCATTGGGAAAAGTTAATATATACTATTTTTGTCCTAATTTGAGACTGTGAAAATTACTTTTATGTCATTAAATTTTATATTTTTCTATAAAAGTTATGCAACTGAAGACATAAAAAAGTGATTCCAGTAGTACAGTGAAAACGCTAAGCAACAAGTTGCTTCCTAATACTCTTTAATTCCCATACTCTAGAAAAAAAGGTCAACTAATTGTGAGACTATGCAAACGTCCCACCCACAACAAAACTATATACTTTTACTACCACCATTACTGCCCTGTTTCAACATTCTAAATGAGAAGAGGGCAGGCTGGTGGTCAGAATATAGTTCATCACAAACACTGAACCCCAAGAAGCCTGGGCAGTGAGATGAAAGTAGAGGCCTTGGTGAGTAAGCCAAGTCATGCTCCTATCCATTGAAATCTCCCACTTTCTATACAAAATAGGCTGGGCAACCCACCAGCGAGTAATGTCAGGTGCTAGCCATTCACTGCCAGGTATAAGAAGTCTCAGGATAGCGTTTTGGGGACATATAGGTACACCTCATCAAGGTCAGAGACTTACAGAATGCTGACACTGGCTCACATCACAGATGACTATGGGGGTGTCCAAGGCCTTCTAAATGGGAAATTTCTTTGTTGTGAGCCTTTCACTGAAGAATGTTGAATAACCCTGGCTCTCCTACTAAATGCCAAAGCATCCCATTGGTGTAACACAAAAATATTCCCATGTGTTTTCAAAGCACCCCCTTGGGACAGTATTGTCCTGGATTGAGAACCATTGATCCCAGGACAAAGATTTCCAATAGGAACTCTGTCCCCTAGATTATGCCCTAGGTTATAACAATGACAGAGACCACCAGCTTATCATTGCACTCTTTCAATCATGTGTACATTCAACCTCAAAACTGTTTCAAACCTAAAACCTTATAGTCCTCTCTGATCATGTACTGAGGAATGAAATGAGGTCATAAATCAAACTATACTTTATTATTATTATTTTTTTTTTTAGCTGAGCCATACTGCCATTTGTTGGCAACTCAGTGGCAACTCAGCTCAGGCCAGGAATTGAACTGCTGTTGCTTAACCAACTGAGCCACTCAGCCAGCCCTTACAAACTATACTTTAAATGTATTTGTGAGCTTATTAATTCTTAGTGAAAATATGTGGTGAATACTGTAGGGGGAAAAAAAAATCTTCCAGCAAATAAATGACCTCTCAGTCTATTCTTTCTGACAAATACATTTTTAATTACTAATTTGCTTTATTCCTATAGACATGAGATTCTAGGGGAAAAAATAATATGGATGACAAAAAGAAGTAATAGACATCTTGAGTTTGGCTTCCTTTCTCCAAGTCAAAAATTAAAAGTAAAATTAGTAAAACAGCATGTAATATAATTATTCTAGTATATTTGTCCTGTGGAAAAATACTTCAGTTGTATAAGAGAAATGATATTTTATTTGAATTGATGTGTGTGCACTTTTTTTGTCCCTTTCAAGGAAAAAAATCTCACTTGGGCACTTGTCCTCATTAGTTCCTCCCACTGAATTTTGCTCAGGTTTATTAGAAAGCATTGAAAAAAAGCTAATACTAAGAAATCACGAAAGTCAGTTCTACTGTGGAAGTCTATGATGTTACTCTACTGTTTCATTTATAGAGACCTATAGATAACTACAGTTATCTTCTGATTAATAGTCTTAAATATAGTTTATTATTGTTTATGGTCTACCAAAAGAAATATTTTTTCCTTTTAAATTGTTACATAATTTCAGACTTAGAGAAAAGTTAAAATACATCCTTCATAATATGTTAACATTTTATTACATTTGGTTTATTTTTGTCTTTTTTTCTCTCTCCATATGCATATTTATGTATGTATGTGTTTATATACACAAGCACATATGCACACATATTTATATATTCATTTTTCTGAATCATTTAAGAGTAAATTGCAGCATGATGTCCCTTTATTTCTAAATTCTTCATTGTACACTTCCTAAATATAAGGAAGAAGAATGTTTTTAAAATTAAACAGCCATAATTCAATTGATTATAGTCTGTGTCATATTGTATATAAATCATAAATGGTTCAGGAAATAGTAATACTGATTAATAGTAATCTGGATATAAACAAGCACAGCTGAGCTGATCTAACTTCTGTTGTAATATATTTTCTACTTCTCTTTCAGACACAGTAAGACTTGACATATGCTAAATGACCATTTATTATACCTACTTTTTAGTCTGCTGCCCCTTGTCTGAGCAATACGGATTCTATGAGTCTATATCTTTAGTTATTTCTGATGGGACTTTGTTGGTCATTTTCCAAGTAAGACAATTCAAGGGGATTTGACATCGGGGCTATAAGTAAAATTATTTAACTGCTTAGTATGATTTGCAATAACATTTAATAGCAATATTATGGTCTGCCAGGTACTTTTCTTGAGAAACACAACTTCTTCAATCAGCTCTGAGAAACAGGCCATCTGGAAAAGTTATTGTTGATTTCAGTTCTCCAAACCTGAGTACATAGAATCTTCCAAAGAAATATAAGTTGCAGGGGGACTGCCAAGAACACATCTCTCTTAACCTACATTTGACAGCCTAAGAGCACAGGTCATACAAAGAATATTTTGAATACTGATCTTACTTCCCACAGGAGTAAGCCCTTTAACTTTTACACTTGGATGGAAGCCACTAATATAAAGACAAGCAGCTTATAAAATAAGTAATTACAAAATTAGAGGGATAAAGAGGGAAGAGTGATGGCTAAGAAGTGTGGGGTTTCTTTTTGGGGTGATGAAAATGTTCCAAAATTGGCCGTGGTGGTGGATGCACGACTCTGTGAATATACTAAAAGCCAATGAATTGTATGCTTTAAATGGATGAATTGTATGGTGTATGAATTATATCTGAATAAAGCTGTTAAAAAAGTACAGTAATATATTTGGTCCATTTCATCATTCCTAAATGGAAAGTCTATTTTAATATTATAACCTTCACATAGGTAAAGGTTTTGAACCTCTTGATTACCTGATAGTGATATACAGTTAAAGGAAATCCCTTAGAGGAAAATCAATGATCATTTTAATGCTCAATTTCACAGAAGCAAGGATTCCTCGCTAAATGAAGAGAAAGAAACTTCTGTAAACTTATAAACAAACATAAAACTCTATGCCATTATTAAAACAGTCATAATCAATTTCTATTTTTAACATTATATTGCCAAGAGCTGATAGAATCCTTAACATTATCTGTGAAGATGGAGAAATGAAAAGCTTGCTGGTAACACATGGGTCTTTCTAAACATGCCTGTGCAAATTCAGGAAGGCAAAGATGGTGAAATAAGGCGATGAGGAGTTTAGATGAAATTTAAGGGCATGGGGAGGCTCTGGTGCTTTTTAAGCATGTTTTAGAGATCTTGGTAATTTAGAAATATGAATCTGGTTAATACATAAAGGTAGCATCCTTGATTTGTGAAAATTTGTTTTTATGACCAATTATGATAACTTTTCTAATAAAACTGGTTAATAAGCTTATTTGTTTTTAAATTCTGTTATATATGGAGTTATAAGTTGTTGAACCTATAGGAACTTAGCATCTCATATTGTTTTTAATTTTTCTGATTCTAAAATTGTCTGTGGTATTCAAAAAAACAAAAAAGAACTGGGGTAGAGAGAGAGGAAGAGGTTCCCTTCATACTGGTGGAAACAAATTTTGCTATATAGAACTTTGCCTAATCAGTCAAATATTCTAAGCTATTTCTAAAATCAATCTGTTTATTCCTATAACTTATTTTGATTATCTTCATAGATTTTAAATGTGGCTTAGATTAAATTGAGCCTCTTTGTCTTTTATAAAGTCTTAGAAATTGGAAGCAGCCTTCCATTTTATACCTGGTCCACACACCCATCCAGGTGGGAGCCCTCCACAGCCTCTGTCCTGCCCTTTAATACATGACCCTATGACCTTCCTTGTCTACTTAATGAGGCGAGCTGATGAGATCACAATGCAGTCCATTTCACTTCTCAGTTCTATAAATTACCAGAATTTTCTTTCTCATATGAAATCTCACCTACCTCATTGTAATTCTACACATCATTCTTACTTTTGGCCTCTGGAGCAACACAGAATAAGCCTATATTTCAGTTGACAGTTTTATATGTACTTGACAAAATGACTCAGTTTAAGTTTTCTCCACCAGGCCAAATCCCTGGGGTCCTTCATATACCAATCTTCATTAGACTATGCCTAGGTATATCACCCACTCAGGATATATGTCAATTTGTCAGTGGGCCTTTTACACTGGATTTAGTTTCTATTAAAAGATTTTTTTTTTCTGGTTTAATGTCTCTTGGGCTTGATCTTATAATATCTCTCTTCTTTTTTTTTTCTTTCAAAGTAGGAAAAAAAAGTCTGACCTTGCACCAAACTTGTTTCTTCTGAAGCGAGGATTACACAGCTCATTTGGGACTAAGACAGTTTGTGAGCTGGTACTCCCTGTGCTAGTGTTACAGTGGGTGGAGACAAAGATCTGGTAATGTTCACAACATTTCACAGGCAAAATTGCAAGGTCCTCCTCTGACAGTGGATGCAAATAATCTACTGCATATGCATCTTTATCAATGAAAATACTAATTCACCAAATGTGTGAGTGCCTACTTTGGGTGGAAGAGAAATGATGTAGATACAGCCTGCAATGGTGGCCCAGTCTGTAGTCCAGAAGGGAGCTCCAAGATATTAAGTGTAGCCCTGGAAAACATCAAGAGGCTGAAGGGAGTGGGAGGGGGTGAACGGAGAAGAAATGGGCCTATCAGCTAAACTCACCATCCTTGGAGGGGGTGAAAGGTGGGAGAGAGATGAGGTAAGGTTGATTCTAGGAACCCTCACGCACCCTACCCACACAGCCTCCAACGAAAACTTGGGGATGCCTAAAATGCAAGTTAAAGAACTTAAGTAGGTGAAGATTAAAAATGCAAGAGAGGTCCTTTAATTGAAGGTAATTCTTGGCTGAGGCAGAAAGGGACACAAAGGAGAGTATAAGCTGGAGGTTACTGAGAGTTCTCAAAGAAAATCACATAACACAACACTTATATGCCCAGGACACCAGTCAACCATTTAGAAAAAGTCTTACCTTTAGGAAGTGCAGTTAAAAGCTTAGCATTGATCCTTCTTTTGCAGTTAGCAAGTTGTTCTTTATCTTCAAGCAAGAACTCTTTCTGAAAGCTAAAAATGACTCCATTAATCAAATGTTTAAAGTCAATTTAAATCAAGATATATGATATCAAGTACAAAATGCTGAGCATAAAAATTACGCCACTGTTACATATACTTAAATATGTGTCTTGCCCAAGGACACATATTTGGCAAGAAGACTACATGAGATACATATCTAGCTCCTGCTCTAACACTGTGTGCTGTTGCTGCCCCAAGACTGCTGTACACGCACTTCCATGGTCTTCCAAGGGAAAGTGCCTGGCGTTGGGCAAGACAGACAGAGCTGCTGCCTTGCGGGAAGTAAACAAACTTAGGAAAACAGGAAATTGCGGGAAGTAAACAAACTTAGGAAAACAGGAAACTATTATTCCTCAGTGATATAATCACCTCCAGAGAGATGAACAAGCAGCCTGAAAACAATGCAAAGCTGACCGTCCCCATGTACTGGTCCTCTGCTTGTGTTTCTGCTCTTCAGGGTACACTTCCATGGAAGCCCAAGAAGTGCCTGAAGAAGGTGCTGTGCATACTATGTAAGCAGGACATATGAATAATCTCTATCCCATATATCAATTCAATGTCAAGGAACTTCTATACATTCCACAATATGGTACACCATCCCATCTTCATAGAACCAAGCACATCTGAAACCTTAGTTATTGCTTATAAATGTGGTATGGCATATATTCAAAAATAGGAGTAACGTGTATTCACATTATTTAATGAAAAGTCTTGAGAATACGTAGTCTTTATAAACCACACTCCAGATGGCATAAAGATCTTAGGACACCTGCTTAGATCAGAAGCTTAGAATTGGCACTGACTTCTAAACCGGGAATTGCAAGGCAGTGACGATTACTTTCAGTGTTTTCTTCAGGTGTATGATTTAGTATAATCCTAAAAAATTCAATAACTGCAGGAATGTTCCCTACTTAAGGAATTATAGGCTATTTTAATGGATAAACTGCTTTTTAAATGTCTTGATAAAGTTCTGTACTTTCTTTGGGAAACTAAAATCGCAGGATTCTATATCAAAAGAAAATGATGCAATCCCTGAAATACTCAGTTTCTTAAGCCATTGACTTTGGGGTACCAAATTATCTCATATTTTCAAAAATAAACATCTGTATGTTTCTATTTTCCTGCTTTTCACTGCTTATCAAAAAGCTCAATGAAGCCACTCATGAAGATTAAGAAGCTACCCCCTCGCTAAACATTTGGCTGAACTTCTACAGAGTTGGGCTCACAGGTCCTCACCCAACACCCCACTGCCCCAACCCCCGGCTCCATATGCACTTCCTTTCTTGAAACCAGCTACAAATAGTGTCAGCACCAATAGAAAGTACAGCCTTTCACAGATGGTCAGAAACCAACAGCTAACCAAAGCACCATTAATAAAATCGCTCGGGCCTGCCAAGTGGCACGTTGGTAAGGAGTTGGCTTGGGATCCCACATGACGGCCAGTGACGCTGCACCCTCTACAGCTAAGATGGTGAACAACAGCTCAACATGGAGCCGGGCTGCTATGAGTTGCCAGTGACAGCGTAGGGCTGGCTGGCAGCGGGCGTGAGCTATTGTGAGCTGCCGTGAGTGGCCATCCAATGGCTGGCAAGTGACTGCCTCACCTGGGAACAGCGCAATGATAATACTAACATGGGCCAGTGAAGCAATGTCCTCCACAACTAGACTGAAGAACAAAAGGACAGCAACTTGTCTGTTCCCCTTCCCTGATTCCCCAATGCTGTTCCCCTCCCCCAATTCCCCAATAAATGTTAAAAAAAAGAAAGAAAATCACTCATGCCTCTTAATGTGGTTTGACTGTAAATGATGTCTCTTTCTTCTGAATTCTCTCCTCCCATCCTGAGTCCTGCTCCTGGTCTAGGCCTCAGTTTAAGGTCACTTTCTCAAGGAGGAATTCCCCTGACCCAGTGCCTGTCCTACCAAGCACTAAATCTATATTACACACCTCTGTTATTTTCTTGCATGGTGTCCTGTTTTGCTATTTGTAGGATGTATTGTCAGTGTCATGTTTTACTTAAAATTACTGATTTTTAAAAATGTTTTTTAAATCAATAAATACAGACGGTGCCAAAAAATGTATACACATTTAAAGAAAGGAAAACTGTATTAAATTGTAATACTAATGTATACTGATAATAAAGATGACTAGAAGTCACATTTGACTTCTGCAGTTACAAGAGGTGCTCAAAGTGGTTACCTTTAGCATCCAGACACTTCTGATTATGACGAACTACTGCTTGAGCAACGCTGACCAAAGTGTCCACTTCTATACATGTTTTTGGCACCCCTGGTATATGGTGAATGAATGAATGGCTACAATATAATACTTCGAACGTATACTATACCTCACTCTGAAGTATTTTATATATACACTTTATACACTGTTGATGTGACAGGGATAAATAGAATTATAAGTATTAAGAATAATTAGAAGGGCATATAATTAATGACATTAGTTATAAGCTTCCTTCCTGCCTCCATTCCCTCCTTTCTTTATTTCCTTCTTTCATTTTTAGAATATAAAATTGGGAAAACATCTCTCCTTATTACCTTTGCTTACATTGCATACAGAAATGAAAATACGAGTATATGTTTAAAAAGTATTGTATTTTTATTCATTCATTTATTTTTAATATATTTATTTTTCAAACACAGCTGACATACAATAGTATATTAGTTTTAGGTGTACAACATAGAAATTAGGCATTCATATAGCTTATAGAGTGAACACCCCAATAAATCTAGTACCCATCTGACACCATACATAGTTATTACAATATTATTGACTATATTCCTTAAGCTATACTTTACATCCCCAAGACTTTTGTAACTACCAATTTGTACTTAATATTTTCTTTTTAAACCCCCTAATTCCCCTTCCATTCAACAACCATCAAAATGTTCTCTATATCTAAGAACTTTTTCCTGTTTTGTTTATTTTGTTCTTTTGATTCCACATATAAGTGAAATCATATGGCATTTGTCTTTCTCTGTCTTACACCACTCAGCACAATGCCCTCTAGCACCACCCATGTTGCTGCAGATGGCAAAATTTCATTCTTTTTTATGGCTGAGTAATATTCCATTATATATGTACCACCTCTTCCTTATCCATTCACCCCTTACTTGACACCCAGGTTGCCTCCATATTTTGGCTATTGTAAATAATACTGTAATAAGCACATGTTCCTTTGAAGTAGTGTTTTGGATTTCTTTGGATAAATACCCAGAAGTGGGATTACTGGATCTTTCTTTGTCTTCTTTTGTTATAGCCTCTGTTTTAAAGTTTATTTTGCCTAGTATAAGTATTGCTACCCCAGCATTTTTTTTCATTTTCATGAAATGTCTTTTTCCATCCCTTTACTTTCAGTTTGTGTGTGTCTTTTGATCTGACGTGGGTCTCTTATAGACAGCATATGTAAGGGTCTTGTTTTCTTATCCACTCAGCACTCCCCCCCCCATCTTTTGATTGGAGCATATAATCCATTTATATTTAAAGTAATTGTTGCTACATATATAGTTATTATCATTTCATTATTCATATTTTTTATCTTATTGTTTTCTTCTTCTTACAGAAGTTCTTCTAATATTTCTTGTAATACAGGTTTGGTGTTGATGAACTCCTTTAGCTTTTTCTTGTCTGGGAAGTTCTTTAGAATCAAAGTTCTGTCCTAAATGATAGTTTTGCTGGGTAGAGTAATCTTGGTTGCAGGTCCTTGCTTTTCATCACTTTGAATGTCTCCTGCTAATACCTTCTGGCCTGCAAAGTTTCTGTTGAGAAATCAGCTGAATCTTTTGAGAGCTCCCTTGTAGGTAACTGACTGCTTTTCTCTTGCTGCTTTTAAGATTCTCTCTTTGTCTTTAAGCTTTGGCATTTTAATTATGATGTGTCTTGCTGTGGGCTTTTTTGGATTCATCTTGTTTGTGATTCTCTGCACTTCCTGGGTTTGTATGTCTATTTCCTTTGCCAGGTTAGGGACATTTTCTATCATTATTTCTTCAAATAGGGTTTCAATTCCTTGCTTTCTCTTCTCCTTTTGGTGCCCCTATGATGCAAATATTGGTATGCTTGATGTTGTCCCAGAGGCCCCTTAAACTATCCTCATTTTTTTTGGATTCTTTTTTCTTTTTGTTTTCCTGATTGTGTATTTTCTGCTGCCTTATCTTCTAAATCACTGACTCAATCCTCTGCTTTGTCAAATCTATTGTTGACACCCTCCAATGTATTCCTTATTTCAGTTATTGTATTCTTCATTTCTGATTGGTTCTTTTTATGTTTCCTACCTCTTTGTTGAAATTCTCCCAGAGATCAGAGTATCCTTACAACCTGTATTTTAAACTCTGCATCTGGTAGATTGCTTGTCTCCATTTTGTTTAGTTCTTTTTCTGGGACATAGCTCTGTTTTTCATTTGAGAACTGTTTCTTTGTCTCCCCATTTTGCCTACCTCCCTGTATTAGTTTCTATGTATTAGTTTTGGCTGCTATGTCTCCTGGTCTTAGTAGAGTGGCCTTATGTAGCAGGAGTCCTGTGGGGCCCAGTGGTGCAGTCTTTCTGGTCACCTGAGCTGGGTGCTCCAGGTGTATACCTTGCATGTGTTGTGCGTGCCCTACTGTTGTAGTTGAGCCTTGGTTGCTGTTTCAACGTCAATGGGAGAGATTGACCCTCAGGCTAATTGGTTGTGAGGACTGGCCATGGCTACAGTGGAGAAGCTGTTATTCAGGGCCTGACCCTATGGAACAGGAATTGTTTTAGAGGGCTCTGGTGAATGCATAGCCTGCCCTTTGGGTGTGTCATCCTCAGAAGTGGCTGGGCAGTGCTCTAGCTTGGTCTGAAGCTGGCCACCAGGTGTGCTGGGCTTGGGGCTTCCTGGGAGGAGTACTGCCGCAGGCCAAGTTCGGCTGAAGACTGTCCTGCCCAGGGCCACCTGGCATGAGCCACAATGCAATCTGCAGATGGCTGCCACCTGCACTGGGCTTGGAAGTGCCAGGAAAGGCCAAGCCTCAAACCAAGGCCAGCTGCCACCCATGCCAGGTTTGGGGCTTCTTATTAAGAGGTACAGGCATACTGAGGCCAGATTCTGCATGTTTGGGGTTTGTGAACATTTGAGAGATTTCAGGAAAGCTCACAGGATGAATCAAGACAGGACTTTTATAAGAAAAAGCCACTGAAAGCAGTTTAGGTGGGCCCACAAGCTGGGTGCTGCAGGGCCTCAGGGAATCACCAGGGTGGGGTAAATGGTGTAAGCCAGTTGATGGAGACTTAGATATGGTGCCCACCTGCATCTGCAGGCTGGTTGTGGGGAGGGTTCAACAAAGGAAAAATGGGTTCTACCAGCACTTCTCTCTGGGATGAAGCTGCTGCTCCAGCCCTCACCCTGAAACCAGACAATTCAGTTCCTCCCCATATGTCCCTGGTGCCTTTTGAGTCACTGCCCCAGTGCTGGAGCCCTTGGAGGTAAGTCTGTGCATGGTCTCTTTTAAGGGGAGTGCCTTGGACTCTAGCCACTTTCTGTCTCACTCAGCCACAATCTCTGTTGGTTTTCACAGCCCAAAGTTGTGGGGACTTCTGTTTCCAGCACTGGAACCCTGAGCTAGGGAGCCTGGTATGTAGCTGGGATCCCTTGCTCCTCAGGTGACACCTCCACAGCCGAGATATCCCTCCTGATTTTTGACCACCTCATGTGGGTTTGGGACCAGCCCATTCTGTATCTCTTCCCCTCCTACCAATCTTGGTGTTGGTTTTTCTATATGGCCTTAGTTATAGGACTTCTGTTCAGCTAGAATTCAGATGGTTCTCAATGATGGCTGTTCTGTAGTTTAGCTGTAATTTTGATATGGTTGTGAGAGGAGGTGAGCACAGAGTTTACCTGCTCCACCATCTTAACTAGTAAAGTACTCTATTTTTAAAGTCTCCATCTTCGAGGTAAACTTTTACTATGGTAATACATATGGCTGTCTTTACATTTTGTTCTCGCTTCCATTGCCTCTCTCTCCTAGTCCCACTAAATGATTGTTAATTTCTAAGTAAGTAGAGAAGCAGATAGGAAGGATAAGGACAACGGTTTGGAAAATGTGGCTCTGACTTGTATCACAAAAGCTGTGACAAATGCAAGACCCCTCAAATCAATATGAAACCAGGCTTTAAAAAAAAGTCATGTCTCTTTCCTGGACTTTTATACCTGAGGGCAGTAGTCAGCAGTGAAAATGAAGGAAAGATACACTAGTAAAGAATTCTGGGGCCGGCCGAGTGGCGCGATGGTTAAGAACTCGCTTGAGACGCCAGAGGGCCCCGGTTCAGATCCCACATATGAGGGCCAGTGGCACTGCCCTCTACAGCTAAGATGCTGAACAACAGCTCAACCTGGAGCTGGGCTGCCATGAGTCGCCGGCGACGGCGTGGGCTGCAGCCCCTGTGGCAGTGGATTGCAATGGGCTACCGTGTGTGGCCAGCAGCCAGCGAGAGTGGCCAGCAGCCGCAGTGAGCGGCCGTCCAGATGCCGGCGACTGATCTGCCTCGCCAGAGAAGAGCGCAATGATGGTGCCAACTTGGGCCAGTGAAGCAACGTCCTCCACAACTAGATTGAAGAACAAAATGACAGCAACTTGCCTGTTCCCCTTCCCCCAATTCCCCAGCACTGTTCCCATCCCCCCAATTCCCCAATAAAAATCTTTAAAAAAAAAAAAAGAATTCTGGATCACTCGTGAATGAGTAACTCCTGACCAAATGAAAACTGATGAAACAAATGCCCCAAAGAGCCCTAACACCCTCCTCCTCTCTCTTTTCTGAGTAACAAGCACAAGATCCTATCATGACTAGTAGGGCCCATTCCAACTCACACAATTTCTAACTCCAGTCACTGGGCCCCGGATGCTGGATCATATTCTTCCTCATCAGTCACTCCTCTAGAAGAAGAGGTCTCTCCCAGACAACCTCTGCAGGCTTTGGTGGATTGCCAGAGCTCAACCAAAACCTATGGTCCTGTATTTCAGGGTGAAACAACCTCTCCATATATAACTAAAGTAAATGCTACAGTCCTAATTTTCTGAATTACAATTTTAAAAGTTTCTGAGTTTATAAAGTGCCCTTTGTATTTTTATGTCTTCATTTCCTCTGAAATAGCACTCATTATGACTAATTTTTTTCATATTTTACCTCCTTCCCTCTGCTTTAATGCTCTAAGAAGAGATTGCCCCTGCTTCTACGATTATTTTTCAAAATGTATCCCATTAACCTACTTAAATGTCCAGCAGCAGCAACAAGGGGAAATTTTATTAAAGTGAGAGCAGGGTATTCTGCTATTATTAACTTTTATCTTTTACAAAATGTGGGATCTACTATTTCAATGACTATTTGGCACCCATGCTGTGAAAGGCTCTCCTACAATCTATTCACACTTCTACTGAAGTTTAAATTACAAGATGTGGGAGAGGAAAACCCACAACCTCATATTTTCACCTCTAGTGTCTGGTTGACTAGATTCCTTTGAATGAGGCAGGTTTTTGTATCTCCAGACCATCGTATACTTAGTACCAGGGCAAGAAAGCCATAATTTGAATAGGTACACATGAAATAATACCCACTATTTTAGAACAGCTGTGTCCCTCTGAGCCTCTCTCCACTGAAGTGTCTGACCTTCACAGTTTGTGCTTTTTCTATCCTTGGATAAGCAATGCTTTCCTGTCTCCTTTCCCTTTCTTCCTTTTTCTTAGCTATGATTAAAGCTAAATGAACCTGCTAGGAACGAAACTGTTATGGTCTGAAAGTTTGTGTCTCCCCAAATTCTTATGTTGAAATCCCAACTCCCAAAGGTGGTGATATTAGGAGGTGGGGCCTCTGGGAGGTGATTAGGTCATGAGGGTGGAGCCCTCATGAATGAGATTAGTTCTCTTAGAAGAAGAAACCCAGAGTACTCTCTAAACCATTCTGCCACGTGAGGATCCAGGAAACCAGCAGTCTGCAAGCTGGAAAAGAGCCCCCACCCCATCATGCTGACACCCTGATCTCAGACTCCTAGTCTCCAGAACTGTGAGAAATAAATTTCTGTTTTTTCATAAGCCACCCCGTCTATGGTATTTTGCTATAAAAGCTTGAATGAACTAATATTTAAGCCTTTGATTCTGTTAAAAACATGGCAAAGATGCAAACTATGGAAAATTGTGTCAAGCACTAGAAAAGTAACATTTAATGAGTGACATAGAACAACTTTCTTGATGACCCTGGCTCAGTACTGCTCTAGCTTACCTGACACTAAGATGTGGATGAAATTCATCAAGGCTTTACCCTGTCTTGTGTGTTCACAAGATCAATTCTGCCACTTTCAAATGTAGACCCAGGTTTTAGCCTGATTGGGACAGTGGTTGGACAACTGTTTATTCCAATGCTATTGAAATGCAAGCCCTTTTTCTTATAGAAATAATGGCATACATAATAGATTAAGAAGAAGAACATCTGAGTAGAGTGAGGGGTAGATTGGAGTTGGGTCCTTCTAGTATAATGTAGTGTACATTGAGATCCACGCCTGTGTGTGTAAGGGATAATAACTCCACTTGAAAATCTCAAACTCTATTAGGGACAGCGATCTAAGAAGCACCTGAGATACAACTATCTTGTTTGGCACAAAGTTTAATTTTTACATTATCTTATATCAATGACAGTGTACCACAGAGTTTTAGCATATAGGTAAATCAAATTGGTATTGATGATATCCTGCAACCAGGGAAACTGAAGTGCAGAAAGGTTAGAGAGCAGGGATCAAGAACTCACATGGACAGATGGGTGGATGAGGAAGGAGGGAAGGAGGAAGAAAGGAAGGAAAGAAGAAAAAGTGGAAAGAAGGATGGGAGGAAGGGAGGAGAGGGAAGAGGAACAAGACTAAACCCTTTCTTAAAAAATCAAAAGCTCTCTTACTTGATGGACAGATTGCAGAAGGACATCCTATGCTTAGAGGCAGGTTATGAGAAAGAAAAGACAATAGCCCTTTCCAAGTTTGCAATTATAGAGAGACCAACATCCTGTTCTATAAATGGTTCCCATAAACAGCATTACACACATATAAAGAATCTTTGCTGGCTGAATGCACTGTTAAGTTAGCTTGCTTCATACATCTTAATAAATCAAACTCTGCAGAGAAAACATGTTGCTAAACATTTAAACTCCTGAATTAGGAATTTAGAAGAATACTTTTAAAAGCTACTACAAATCTTCAAAACAAGATTCTTGAGCAAAGACCAATTTACCTTGGAACTTTTCTTTGATGTGGGAATCCAGTGAAGCTTAAGTTTTTCTTGTTGAAATCTAAGGGGAAGGAAATAATGTAAAATTGAAATAGCTACACGAAGTTAAAAAAAAAATGAATGGGAAAAAAATTTCTTCAAACTCCCTTTAAACATATATTTTTTTAAAAAGGAAAGCATTAACCACAAGAATTATGAATTTTTTAAAAATGACACATTCTAAGAATCAAATTCCACAATATACATTTTACATAGGCAAGTTTTTTTGTTTTGTTTTGTTTTGTTTTTCTCTATTGAAAAGAAGCCAGCATACTCTGGGTAATAAAAAGAAAAAATTCTGACATAGTTCAATGCTATCATTTAAATCCATATGGCTAGAAGAATAAGTCAAAGCAATTAAATATTGAATAACATAGTTATATACTCAGGAGAAAAAAATCAGACAATTTTGGTTAAGATCACCAGAAATGTTGCAAGTCATCTCTGTCTGATATATTTGAAATGCTTTTAAAGAATGCATGGGTGGGGACATAGTAAAAGCTGATGAAGAACAGGGGAACATTTTAGCCACATTTTTATTACCTTCATTAAAACCTAAACAATAACATCATATCAAATAAACCACTTATTCATTTTTGAAGACAAAATATATATTATGTAAAGACAGCTGGGAACAATCCCATATGGCAAAAACACGTATCCAAATGACCTGGTTAATCAAAACCAGGCACAGACAAAATTTATAACCAGTCTAATGGCAAGTAATCTGTTTTACAGCATTTGGCATAGCAACCATTTGTCCAGCAAGAAAACCACAAGCAGACCACTTACAGAAACCTTCCTCTCTGGAAGTGCCTTTTATTGTTTGATACTAGGGATCAGAAGCCTGAGGAAAAGGAGGTACAAAATACACCACATGCTGACATGACATTATCCATCAAAATACATCCAGAATCCTATAATGTGGAAATTCTGACCAGCTACAGAAATATAGTAAAATGAAAGGAATAATGCCAACTAAACATCTAGGTTTTTCTAATTGTACAAATACCTTGTTTAAAAAGAGAACTCAGTTTAAAACGTTATCATATACTGTAGAAGAAAACTCCTGAATCTGAGGCCTGAATTGCTCCACTTCCTAATAGTGCATTAATGCTAGAAGATGCTTTTATATACAATAGCTGAATTTCAAATGTGACATTCAGAAATAACCTCAGCATTTCGTTTTGTTCAATCAGTGAGCTGAATCTGCGATAGCACTTCAGTAGTTAAATTGAGAGCATATATTTTCCTCTGTGCTAGAAAGGAAGCCACTAAAAAGACGTTTTGTTCCAAACTGTCTCACATGAAGATTTAATAAAAAGACACTCACCACTGCCTACTGGAAATAATTTAATATACATAGCATTTGATTTAGAAAAATATTTTAGCTAAAGTGAGAACTCGATCCAAAGTTTGGGCATTCCAATTGAATTTGCATTTTTTTCCTACATAAAAGCTCGAGTGGTTTAGTTCTATCTTTAACTTATAATGGAAAAAAGTTCACATTTTTCAGCAATTTCAGGATAAGCTCGTTTATAAACTCAATTAGATATTTAAAGTGTCCATTGAGAAAACTGTACAACTAACGGGACACAGGAGAATACAGGGTAAAATGGAGGGTACAAGGCATTCGCTATGCTATCAAATATGCACATAAGTGCATTTTCTATTTCTCTTGCCTTACCTTGTTTCTCAGAGAACTTGAAAGCTCCCAAATAGCTTGACATCCCTGGGCTTCTGAACATGGTTACACATCGGAAGTTCAGTAACAAAGCCTGCTCTACAGCTAAGTCTCGACCAGCCACAGCCTTCAGCCTGGCTAAGCAGGACTGGGATTAGGCTTTTCACAGCACAGGGCTAGAGCAATCAGGCACTGGTGTCCCTGAGCGTGTAGTAAATGCAAAGCCAGAGGCTGCAGGCGGGAACAGCTCAAACCTGTAATCTGACTACAAGCAGAAATTAGGCCCGTGGATACTGAAGCCGACTGGAATCCAGTCATGGGGCATTGGTGATGTTACCATTTCAAGTCCACGGCCAAAGCACAGCACATGCTTCAGCTAAGGAGACGCTGCGGCAACCTAACCATCCTCATCAGGGGAGCCAAAACTACAACTCCTTTCCCTGAAAATAAACAAACAAAAAGAAAAACAAACAAAGCCTCTCCAGGCGTTGGGAAGAAGGGAAGCTTCCTAACTAGTCCCAGGCTGCTCAGGGTCTGGCTTTGCCTAAGTTAAATAAAATTTTCTACCTAACAGGGAGCCAAAACCTCCTAGTTAAGAGCTGAGATTTATGAACAACATATGAGCGAAGTCGTGGGAAAAGAAAAGGCAGATAGCACTAGAGGTTCAAAATTTTAACTTGAGACAGAAGCTCTTAAATTAAGCATTATCTATTCGACTGCCCTCTTTTTATTTCATGATTGTCTTTTTAAAAGACTTAATTTTTTTGTAGAGCGGTTTTAGGTTTACTACAAAATCGAGGGGAAGGTACGGAGAGCGCCCCTCTGGCCCCCTGGCCCACACATGCACAGACTCCTCCATTATCACCATCACTCATCAGAATGGTGCATTTTTTTACCCAGGAAGAACCCCCATTGATATGTCATAATCACCCACAGTCCAGTTTACCTTAGGGTTCCCCCTCTTGCTGTTGTACATTCTATGGGTTTGGACAAATATATAATGACAGGTATCCATCATCATTATCATAGCATAGAGTACTTTCATTACCCTTAAAATCCTCTGTGCTCTGCCTATTCATCTAACTACCCTCCCCTGGCAACCATGGATCTTTTTATGTCTCCAGAGTTTTGCCTTTTCCAGAATGTCATGTCGTTAAAATCATACAATACGTAGCCTTTCCAGATTGGCTTCTTTCACAGAGTAATATGCATTTATGGTCCCTCCATGTCTTTTCATGGCTTCATAGTTCCTTTCTTTTTAGTGCTGAATAATATTCCATTGTCTGGATGGACCACAGTTTATTTATCCATTCACCTATTGAAGGGCATCTTGGTTGGTTACTTCCAGGTTTTGGCAATTGTGAATAAAGCTACTCTAAGTATTTATATGCAGGACTTTGTGTAGCTATAAGTTTTCAACTCATTTGGGTATCAAGGAGTATGATTACTGGATCATATAGAACGCTTAGTTTTATAGGAAACTGCCAAACTGCCTTCTAAAGTGGCTGTACCATTTGCATCCCCACCAGCAGTGATGCAACCCTCCACAGCCACATCCTCCACATGCTCCACATTCTCGCCAGCATTTGGTATTGTCAGTGTTTTGGATTTTTGCCATTCTAATATGTGTGTAGTGGTATCTCACTGTGGTTTTAATTTGCATCTCCCTCATGATATATGATGTGAGCATCTTTTCATGTGCTTATTTGCCATCTATATGTCTTCTTTGGTGAGGTGTCTGTTCAGGCCTTTGGCCCATTTTTATTTACTTGTTTTCTTACTGTTCAGTTTTAAGAATTCTTTGTATATTTTGGATAACAGTCCTTTAACACAGTGTCTTTTGCAAATATTTTTCCCAGTACGTGACTTTTCTAATTATCCTGATAGCCTCAATTGCATAACAGAATTTTTAAAATTTTAATGAAGTTCAACTTATCATTTATTTTCATGGATCGTGACTTTGGTGTTTTACCTAAAAAGTCAGCGCCAAACCCACGGTCCTCTAGGTTTTCTCCTATGTTATTGTTAGGAGTTTTATAATTTTGTGTTTTACATTTAGGTTTGTGATCTATTTTGAGCTAATTTTTGTGAAAGGTGTAAGGTCTGTGTCTAGATTCCTTTTTCTGCACATGGATGCCCAGATGTTCCAGCACTGTTTGTTGAAGGAAGTATGTTTGCTCCATTGCATGACTTGTGACTCTCTACTATGGGAAGCTGCAACTCCCTGTACGGGCTTGTCCCTCCAAACTTCGGAGCAGTGCTTTGCCCTGTGTCCTCCTTTCTCCTATGGACTCAAGAAGTGTTGATTTTTCAGTCTGTTCAGCTTTTTACTTGTTGTTTGGATGGAGCAGCGACTCCCAAGCTCCTTACCTGCGGAACCAGTAATCCTGAAGTCCCCCCCTGTTTATTTTTAACTGCAACCTGTGGCTGGTGGGCCCAAGTAGTGACCATGCAACTCCAAGAAAAATATGCAATAATTGGACACTGATACTTTTATAGCTAAAAGGGACACTAAAGAGATACTAGGAAAACAGTCTCATTAACAAGATGAGGCGACAGAGGACCAGAGAAGGAACTTGCTCATGAGTAGACACTTGGTTAGTGATGGAACTGTAGGATCTTGAGGAGGTGAGGCCAGATCATGATTCAGCCCCCACCCCAAAGTTCTACAAGAGGCAGAGACCCTGAGTATGTCCATCTTTGTATTCTTCATATTGAACACTGTAGCAGGCCTGTAGTGAATATTTTCTGACTGACCATATAAAATAACAGAATCATCTTTTCTAAAAGCTGGAGATCATATTCCAAAATGATTTGCATTGATGTTATATCCTGCTTTCAAACCAAATCTACTTGAACTGATTTCTAAACTACAAACAAACAATTTGAAAAGGAAGAATTATGTACCAAATTAATTAAGGCACATCCACAGAAGGTGCATCGGCACTGGTTACTACATGAGTCAGTGGTGACGTCTGGCATTTTCTCTATGCTACTGATTGTTCCAACTCTGATAAATTTGGGAAGAAATATGGCAAATAGTTCAGTTAGGAAAAAAGTCAGCAAGGAACAGCTTGAGTACGGTGGTAACTGTAGTGGGACCTTTATTGGTAGGTCATGGCTAACTAGGAACAAAAAAAGAAAAAGATAATGTTGGAAGAAGAGGAGGGGAAGGCAATAGTGGCGGCAACTGACTCTGGAAATCAATGGGATGAAGTGATAGCTGTGCTCACAGGTACGCCTTTTTAAAGAACTGAACAGTTGATAACACAGTATCATTTACTCATCACCATTTATGTTCCCAAAAACTACTCTGCTTATAGAATACCTAATTAGAA